TTTTCTTTCCATACGTTTCTGGTAGCATACTTCAGTAATATGATACTATGCCGGCAGTATATTAATTGGTTAGCGTTGTTGCCGCTCTTATACGCCATGTTGACACTGTCATTTCATATAGCTTGCATTAAAAGCTTTCGCCAGTTATTTTGGAGTTATAAAAGGCATTTTAAATATAATAATATAATATAAGAGGCAAATAAAAATGCGCAATTTATTTGTGTAAAAATTACGTCAACATTTTTCGGTCACTGTGCTCTTGTAGACTAACATATTTAGTCTATAAATATAAATAATTCAAGTCATATAATTGCAGTTAGGCCATTCTGCCTCTAGCCGCCTCATATAATATAGGTTAAACTTACAGATTAATTGCACACCGCCTTCGTGGCTCATTGGTTAAACGCTTTGCCTATCGGAGAGTGCAAGAAGTCCTGGGTTCGAATACCGGGTAACAATAATTTACGCGAGTGACACATTTTTCAACAAGTATATATTTCGCGTTTTAAACCATAAAAGTGTTTTATTTAAGCAATGGTTTTGATTTGGGAAGACAATGTAACGGACACAGGCATTAGTTTGCCACAATCTGTGTGAGGTAATCGGGAGCTCGTGATTTTGTATATATAAAACATAGTAATACAGTTCTCGTGGACGAGAGATATAATCTTCGCGGTCGTCTGCCGAACTAGACGCTGACACATTTTTTTTAAAGGTAAAAGTCAAAGGTAAACGTATAGTCTAGCACTAACTGTCTGTTATTTTTAGCATTTGATCTGGGTTAGGCTAGGAATTTAAATAGGCCTCGCCGTCTGTGTCTTTTGATCTAGTACTCGACCGTTAGAGATAAATAATGTTGTATGAATCACTTCCATCTTTTAATACACAATTTTCGTTTCATTTATACTTAATTAAAATCAAAACGGAATTCACTTTACGTCGGCTATCACATGATTTTATTGAATTCGTTCGTGCCGTTTGGGGCTGAAAAAGTAAAACCTCAGCCTAAATGTCTTCTTTGGAAAAGACAAGAAGTATATAGTACCCAGTGGTAATTGAATACGCGGCTCATTATTGACCACCATAGAAGCAACCTACCTAGCTACCATTGATCCAACATACCTAATACACACATATATATTAATAATACCTCGCAATATCTCGCAAATAAATCATTGTAATAATCTTATTTACTGAAAATTATTTATTCAAAATTGATATGCATCCATTAAAACAATTAAGTTAAAATAGCTTTTTATACGTTCGGGCGACGATGCAATCCCATCACGTATTTTAATAATATTAAATATTAAAAGCTTTAAGTTGATACGCTTTCGCTAGATTAATTTTCAGATTCATACACGATATATAGGATGCACATAGGTTTCCATCTATTTTTCATTATCTATTAGTTACTTTTTCATCTATGAACTATCTATGAATTCATGATCGCTAATTTCCGAAATTCTAATAAATATGCAGGGATTTTAAGTTCTGACACGCTTAAACAAAAAAAATGAATATTTCGATCACATATCGTACATGTTGGTAGTTCATGAGGCTGACAATATATATATATATATATATTTCATACCGTTGTTTTAGGAGTACTTACGAACAATAGCTCAGACAAAATTTGTTGCATGAAATACCACCAATTAAGCTATTTTTCAAATTTAGAATATTAGCAAGTAAATAAACTCAAAAAATATTATAGGTATTTCCTATCTTTCAAAACTATAAAAAATAACAATTGACGGCTAAAATATATCAAAATTTGTCATTCATCTTCAGTTAAGTAAAATAAAATTGATAAATTAATTACCGAACGTAAGAGGAAAAAGCATAACGCACAAATCATTATAATCAATAACATGTAGGAGAATGTATTGTGTTGTTTGTGATATTTTGTTCAAGAAAAAGTTTGCCTTAGTGGTATAATTTATAATAATCCAGATAGATAACTATGGTAAAAATACGTAACATGGAGTTCGGTTACTGGGGCAACAATAACTCATTATAATAAACATTTAAAAATTTATTTAGTTTGAAAAGAACCGGCCCACAAACCAATTGAACTACCGAGTCCTACCAGTCATCGTTAAACCTTTTCAACCCATTGATATATGCACCTAGATTATTATCAATTTTTCATTTATATAATGCCACAATAACCTGTGAAAAATATGATTTATAATAAATAAGGAAAAATGTCTCATCAACTATCTAACTGAAATAAACTCAATTCGGTATCACGTATCTTAATTTTAATTAAGTAAGAGCTTAGTTATTAGTTACGTATCAAATAATTAAACTTATTAGTAATAATAATATTAATGACTCGGTCTAGTCTCGAACTCACAAACGTCATAGTTAAGTATAGTATAGTATAGTAGTCAAAGCGTTGTAGTGCTCTACCAATTGAGCTACTACGCCCATTAAATGATATTAATATTTTTAATTAAATAAAAGTAAATTTTACTTCAGAGAACTTTTGTTTAAAATTACCTTCAAAATATTAAAAAAAATAGATTGAAATTACATCGCGTTCTCGACATAGCTCACTTGGTAGGAGAAGCAGCACGACGGATGTAGGTTCGAGTACCTCCCGTGTTATTAAATACTAGCTGTGTCAGCGACTTTGCCCGCGTAGAAAATTAAATTGGGTTTTTAAATTAGTTTTTGCTAAACCTTTTTATAATTTTAAGCTGTTATCCACACCTTTCACATTTCCCGTTTCTTTGCTTCTATTTGTCGCTGTTTCATAGCCTAAAGCCTTCCTGGATAAATTACTCTAACCAACACAAAAAAAAAAAAATTCAGTTTGAACCAGTAATTTCTGGGATTAGCGCGTTCAAACAAACAATCTCGCCAGCTTATTAGTAGCATGGATCTATAATCTAATAGGTACAAAACGAAATCTCCGTTCAACAAAGTTATGTGTTTATTGGATAGTGTATATTTATTTTACTCTCGATTCCCTTGTTATTCACTACATTTCAAACATACAACATAATGAACTGTGAATCATGCTAAATGTATGTCATATTAATTATGTATTAGATATGCTAGGTGTTTACTATTATGCAAGGTACCTTTAATACTTACACTGTGTTTATAAAACTCAGTGACTAGTAAACACTTGTGTCCTGCTGAGGGCCCGGGTTCTGATCTTGGGGTATAATAAATTGTTCTTTAACTCATTATCCGCGAAAGGAATATATATCCTATATCGATAACACGCGTTAATTTTTTTACAAAATGTAATTTAAAAATCTAAAAAAAATTGAAAACATTTTCGACTCGGGCAGTACCTGAACTTTAAATTATATTGTGCCTTCGTGAAAAAGAAATTATAAAGTTTTCAAAATGTAATTTTTTAAATTTATTATTTTCGTTATTTACAAATCGTTGAATTGTGAGTTCTTTGTCTTCTAAAAAAAACTAATAAAATTAAATAAAAATAAAATATACTTTAATATATAAAAAAATATTTAGATCTGTCAATTTTTTTTCTCCTTTGTCTGTCGTCTGTTCGTCGTGTTTCTACAGAGTATTCAAAAGAGCAACATAACTGAGAAGAGCAGCCAAGAAACTCAGTCCGGCTTTTCTTAACATTTCTTATAAACTAATACATTTTTGTAAATTCATTAACAGGAGCAATTCATATTACTGCCAGGCGGTCTTGTCATTAAAAAAAATCGTTCAGACAATAATACGCCCTTTGAGACAATCTAAGTTTTATAACTTCTTGCTTTAATGTTTATATTTGTATATGTTTTTCATATGTATACTAATATTATAAATGCGAATGTAACTCTGTCTGTCGGTCCGGCTCTAAAGCCGACACTGCTGAACTGATTTAAATGAAATTTGGTACGCAGATATTCTAAAGCCTGAGAGGATATAGGCTACTTTTTAATACCAAAAGGGTTGTTAGGGGTTGAAAAGGGGGATGAAAATTTGTATGGAAATTCGTGATTTTTGGGAAGCGGGAACAATGGGAGTATGTCCTTTGGCTTTTTGGGAATGGGAGTGAGAGTAGGAGTGATGTGAGGTGAGAGATTTGCTACCTTGAATGCGCCCATTAAACAGCTTAAATAAATAAAAATTCTACCCAAAGTATACTATATATTCCACGCGGACGAAGTTGAGGGCACAGCTAGTTGGTTTATGAGATGTCGTTCCGCTTTTTGTTTTCATCGGTTACATTTCAACTTTTCAAGGCATCTACACAAAGTCTAGACACCTAGTATTATTTAAAAGCTATAAAAATTAAATCACCATCACTCTGAACTATTGACAGAGGTTCCGAATAAATTATTATGATGTAAATGTCCCGAATTTTCATAATAAAGAACGTCTACTTGCCAATAAAAAAATCACAATACAATGGCCTCGAAATTACGACACATGTACACTTACTGTGTTAAATATATTTACGAAAATGTTGTAGTGTTGAATGCTTTTTAGTTTTTATTGAGAGTTCGCGTTGAAGATTCAATGTTTGTCGTTTCAGTATCATTGCGTTAAGCTCTAGCTAGACCGCGCGTTCGATTCCTTCCTTGTATTGTTGTACATTTTCAAATAAAACACTTTGATGGTTTAAAACGATAAATTTTAACTACGTGTCTCACCGTGACCATGGCTGTTGCATCCGAATCGTCGGGCTGTAGTTGAAATGATTTTCAAATAAGTTTAACTAATATATATATCGCGTTTTAAACCGTTAAAGTGTTTTATTCAAATGCTACTTGCGTAAACTACAGACCGTATTTGTTTTACATTGGTTGACGGCTTAGAAGTATTCCAATTACATGAATATAAAAAATATTTATTTAGAGTAATGTTTTAACGATTTGAGTAAATAAAGCTGTCCAAAATGACAAAATACGATATCATTTTGAAGTTTTACCATATCTGTGGGGTATGGGGAAGTGACCTTAAAAAATCAAAGTCGGTCTTGCACGTCTTTCTAAAGTGTACGGTTGTTGTTTAACATGCTGGGATTCAAACGTGGGTCCTTTCCGCTTTACGCGTTTACAATTGTTTCTCGTAACGATCAGTATGTGTCTTTGAAAATTTCATAGTATTATATGAGCAATATGTAACGTAATGTGGTGCGTAGAGCGGTATTATTAGATCGAAGTGAAAGTATTGCTCTCCACTTCATTTCACAAAACGTCTTGGCGATGTAGCTTTACATTTGATGGCGAATTGCGATCTATATTTAGTCTTGGCATTGCATCCGCCCTTTAAATTACTTTAATGTACTCACACTAATTATGTTGCGAGGAAAAAAAACAAACAACAATATCTTAATGTTTTTACCACGTGTAGTGTTTTATTGCATAACAGGGAAAGACGCGGGAGAATATTATTGAGTTATTTATCATTTAGACTCAAATTTCGCGACTAGTTAGTGCCCCACAGGTGGGCAAAGGTTAGCACCCACCATGATTCAGTGTGGATTGGCAGTCTTTACTACCACCAAAAAAATAGTGATAATAAATGGTACCTAAAACTTTTTAAATACAATATCGTACTCTTAATTTGCCTAACTCATTAGTCAAACGTTGAACATCGTGATCTGTACTCAGATTATACAAAGATAAATTAAATTGTACATTCCAGATAATAACGTTTACTGTTTAATTTTTGATTGAATTAAAAATCGATTATAAATTGATAAAAATTACGACTCGGGCAGGACTTCCCTCAGCGTTCTGTGATGTTGCTTTAACCAATGTTTGGTTTTTTTTTTTTCTTAAAATATAGTTGTGAAAAAATGAAATTATTTGAGTGTCTTTTCGAGAAGATGAATGTAGAAATAGTTATTAGATACTAGTTTACCATGCACTGAACGAACCATACTTTCATTGTTGTAAGTTCTTAGAACTTTGTTCATAACAGTGAATGATTCTTGTAGAGGTAACAGAATTGCGGATTTCCACCGCACAGCTCCCATATGTGAGTGGTGAGTGGCTTGACAGAGACAGTATAGCACCAGATTTTTAATTTATAAATATTTATTAATATCAATGAGTGAAGATAAATTATATTATTCTTTTGGCAATGTCGAAGTCGATAAACGTTGCTTTTTAATTTTAAAAGGTGTTAAGTATTTGTGCAGTACAATTGTATTTATGCTGTATGTGTTAGAAACAAAAAAAGTTTAATTTAGAAATTAACTAACAATATTCGTTGACAGTGCAATAATTAAAACAATAAAAGTAAATACGGGACAAATTTAAACTCTTTTTAAATGTTTACCAGCAGTACGACTTTTTGAAGTAATTTAAATAATTGTCTAATTTTAGGATTTCAAATGGTATATACTTTTGTATAGAAATTGCCATTATGTTAAAAAATATGTTGTTTAATATGCAGATGTGTTGTAATAATAAAGTAACGAAAAACGATAGTCTTCAGATTCGCTGTTAAAAAACACGTCTAAGCCGAATTTTATAACCGACTTAAGTATATAAAAATTCACAAATAAAAAACAATAAAAAGCTAAAAAAAAATAAGTTGAAACGGGTTTGTTATAAAAAAAAGGTGGAAAGTTTTAAGTTTATATTCTGCGTAAACTTCTTTATACCTATAACACTTTTTGTAGATCTGCATATGTAAAATATAAATATTTAAGTGTAGTAACAAGATATTCTCGCAAAATGGCTACTTCTGGTGCCAAGTTGTTATCAACAATATTTGCTTACAATACAAACGGTGAAGTTCAAATTACTGTTTACAAAAATAACACGCGCATTTCATAAATTTTAGGCGATAGCATGAAACATACATACAAAGAACAAAATCACTACTTCCTATGTCCGGCTTCAACTTTGATGGGGTTACGTTAGTCTTATAATAATCTTATTTTCAGGTCTTCCTTTGTCGTAGAAGCGGTTGTGTTTTGTTCTACTCACAAAATAAAATGGGGGGGGGGGGTTCTGTTCTATAACACAAATCTAAAGCTGGTAAAATTTATACCAACATTTTGGACGAATCTTAAATCCCAAATTTGTCTTTAAGAAACTCCTACATAGTTGTAATTTAACTTCTTTTCTTTCTCCCTTGGTACGTTAGAGATATGTTACAACTTTGTAACCCGCTCTCGATGGTAATTATTTCCGTTTTGCCCCGTTAAAACAGGTTACTACGAATCTTTCGAGCACAAGAACAAAGGCGCAAGACTAATAGCAATTTTCTTGTCTCATTTGCAGGGAAACTCCTCGAGAGTTGCGGAACAGAGCAGAGAAGCAAAGAAGAGATAAAATGAACCAATCAATATCCGATCTAGCTGCTATAGTGCCGCCCGTGGCTATACCAGCACGCAAAATCGATAAAACAAGCACACTTCGTCTGACCGCACACTATTTACGATCACATCAATACGGTAAGAACAGGCAAAGAAGTAGGAAATTGACGTTACCCTACACGGTGGTTCAGTTAAAATCAGTTTTAAAAAAAAGTGTTAAATTATATGTTAAATTTAACTATGACTGGCGAAAAGATCTATTAAGGTTAACGAGTACTCGCTATCGAGGGCTCACTGTTGTAAAGGTAGCAATGTCGCTAGCAATCAACAGGCCGTGAGTTCTATCCGGGTCAAAAATTTTTCTTATAAATTTATAATTTTTCTAAAAAATCGTGGAGTTTGTCTAGAAATGGGTGGTAGGAATATAAAAATTCCACCCGGGTCACTAGCGGATCTACAGACGAAATAGCTGCCGAGTTACGTCGCATTTCAGTGTCAGTCTGATCCAAAGGCAATCTATAAAAAATACAATATTTCGTAATTTTCTTCATATATTTCTTCTCTTCTATTTTGTTTTTGTTTATTGTTACGTGATATTAAAGTAAAACATACTATGTCCATTACCTATTATAATAATTGCTTATTACAGTTTTTGGAGACAGCATAAATAGAGGGAGGAACAGCAGAGGATTCAGCTTAGAATTTACAAAAACCTTATTGAAGACACTAAAAGGCTTCCTCATTACGATCACTTATAAAGGTCTTATTGTGGTCGTATCGCCCAATGTCCAGCAGTATTTAGGCTACTCAGAGGTAATATGGTAACGATTAATTAATTTTAAATGCTTTTCGTCATGCATTTATTGTCATAATTAAAAAAAATAGTTATTGAAAACAGTATTTTAGCATGTATTGCACATAATGGCATTATAAAAATTAAGAATGTTTCGCGTGGTACAATTGGTTAGAGCAGCAGCACGGATCGCTGTGGATGTGATTTTTCAATAAATATAATAGTATTCAAGTATACTAAACATAGCTTGAACAGACAGACTGACGAAAATAAAAACATTATGATTTATAGATTGAAGTAAAGAAATAGGTAATAGTAATTGAGTTATTTTTTTGTTCGCTTTTTGGAAATTAAATAAAATAGATTTTAGGTAATCATTCAAAATTGAAACTGCAACTTCCTCTGTGTAGTTCCAGGTGTAACATGGGTTTAATTTAAACTGTTTCATATTCAAATTAAACTAGAGATATATTTTGTTCAAGCCTCTTTGTAGTTGCACTATGTCGGCTGCAAAGGCTCTTCTTAAATGCATAACAGGAATCCAACTTCCATATCACGGTGAGGTCCTCGTCCATAACGGATCAGCACCGATCTATCTAAATTAACACTTTCTGTGCACAGTTGGAATTACTCGGCCAAAATATATTCAACTACGTACATGTGCAAGACCACAATCTTTTAAGGGAACGGCTGATGCCACCAAAGATAATGATGGGCTTGAATGGCGAACTTCTGGTACCACAAGACGATGAAGGAAGGGCGCGCGTGGAATATGCTCTTAGTAATGAAAAACGGAACTTCACTATTCGGTAAGGATTGTTATTATAACCTATTTAAGAGTCTAGATTGCCTGCCCCTGTACCTAAGTTGTAAGACGGTCCGTCATTATAATATTTGTGTCATTGACTACAAACCGACCATTAACGAAAAAGCTATTTAATCTATCTGCGTGTAAATCATAAGTTAACTTAATTTTTAATTTACATGGCCAAAGCGTGTCCCATACACGTTTGTGTTCTAGAATTCTATTCTAGTTTCTCCCGATATTGTGAACCTAACCTGAACTTCACAAGCTAAAAATACACAATTTCGTTATTTTAGGTAATACTGTGCCACATATACTACCCAATTTACTTTAATTTATTTTTTATCTTTATTTGTTTCAGTTTCAAAAGACCAAATCAACAGAGGACTGGACCGATACACTATGTGACTTGTCATATACAGGGGACCCTGCGAAAAGCTGACAAGGCCGGTCTTAGATATAATCGTTACAGTCAGATTATACGTCGAGCTAGATTTAGAGGGGAGACGCCTAGATCTAGTGGGAATGACGTCGTAAGTATCTTAGAGAGAAATAGAGAAAAGATGTAATTTCATAATCTGTTTTTAATTCTTCTCTTACATTTAATAATATAAGAATAACAATACGGTACAAATGACAACATCAATTTATTTAGATGATTCTTGCATTTTAACTTCGACCGGACTTAACATCAAACATGTTAAGTCGGGTCGAAATAAATAAGTTTTCTTAAGTGCAAAAAGTGTTGTATTTAGAGATTATAAATCTTAGGTCAAATTTTAGGTATTCATCGGTATAGCAAGACCAACGACTGAAACGTTTATGACAGAAAGTATACTCGAGTCGTTTAAAATGGAATACCGCACTCGACATTCAATAGACGGCCAAATAATACAATGTGAGCAGAGGATAGCTCTGGTCACTGGTTATATGACGCATGAGGTTAGCGGGGTGAATGCCATGAATTTTATGCACCGCGACGACGTGCGTTGGGTCATCGTGGCGTTACGTGAAAGTAAGTTACAGCTTTTGAAACCAATCAAGTATTATCCGGAGCCAAATTTTAAAACGTAGATCAATAAAATACATTACCGATTTGCAGTGTACGACGAGAACCGTCTATATGGCGAATCGTGCTACCGCTTGATGACAAAAAATGGAAAATTCATCTACATGAGGACCAGGGGTAGATTAGATGTTGATAGGAATACCAACGCAGTGACCAGCTTTATGTGCGTAAATACAGTGGTAACCGAAGAGGAGGGGAAACAACTGATTCAGTCAATGAAGAAGAGGTTTATGCTCATCGTAAATAATGGTGAAGATAAAAGTGAAACAAATGCTTTAGAGGTAGGCGAGGAGAGATCACACTTCTACTATTGCCAGTGGGTTGTAAATTGCTTATGTACTGTTAAAGGGACAAACTGCCGGGTTGCATAGTGATTTGTACAATCGGGTGGTCAAAAATAATATAGTGTGTCATCTTCACAAAAGTGCAGTTACATTTACTCATATACTATCAGTTTCAAGTTAAGGTTCCCATATCTGTTACAGGAGAAGAACGACAAGGCAGTAGCTGTTGAAGACCCGGAGCAATTGCAGGAAGTTATCCTTCACTTGGTCACAAACTTGCCGTCGCAAAATAACAATTTTGTTCCTTCAACCATTAATGAAGATATTGGATTTTCAAGATTATCTATCATACCACCGAAAAAAGACAGAATCCTCGACGCTATTCTGAAGAGTAGTTCCGTTATAGGTAAATATTTTATATTCTCATACACTGTACGGCTGTACTTGATCAAACTAGTAAATCCTACAAGACTGACAGGATTTCTTATGAGTCTTCAACTGTTTTAGAAAAGTATGTGATAATTTTTTTTTGTTTTTCTTGACTATGCAGTCACGGAGACCGAGACATTTAAGTGACTTTCTTAGAGTTTAATTTAACTTGCTTCTAGGTAACATGGGGCAGAACGAAATCAACTACGTCCATTCAGAGACCAGTAACGTCATTGGAATAAGGCGTCCTTGCATTGACAACAATGATATCAAAACACCGACCAAAATGTCTAAAAGCGACGATATGTCTGATGAGAGTCTTCTGGAATTTCTTCAGTTGGACTCTGGAGGAGAATTTGCAATCGCTGATATGGGTGAGATGTTTGTTAGAGCCACATCCATTATAGCGATATCATTAGTGTAGTTACAAACAACTTAATAGCGTTATTCATTAAAACCTAGCAACCCGCATCATAGATGAGTTGTAGAGGTCTGCTATTCATAGCACTAGACATTTTCTTATCTATTGTAACTTTAAGTTTTACTTATTAAGAATATTGACTATAATTATTTTATTATCATAAAATAATTTCTTTTTTCTTTCTTAATTTAATAGTATGAATGCTTTCAGATGCAAACGGCATAAACTATAAGGACATTTTAGAAGAAGCCCAACTGGACAAGCAGTCTTATTTTGAAAATATTGATTAAGTTATTGGCTCAAAAATTTCTGGTCTTCAAAATGAATTGTTTCGATTGACGTTATCCCTGTCATGCCCTTGTACGGTGTTCGTAGGCCGATACTGTACCAAAGCGTACAATGGAATCCTTTTTATCAGTGTTATCCTTATTATCAGTCCCTATATCTTGAGTGCATCTCTCGTTGGTGCAATGTAACTATACTCTCCAATGATTAGAAAATACTAGGCATTGGAAACTGGGAGCTTTGGAGTCGTACAAACGTGTTCCCAGGGCTCCCTCAAAACACCGTAGAAGGCTGGTGGTGTGTTAAGTGGTTCTGGTCGGCTATTGTCTCCGAGGAGGTTGTAGTAAGATTTACCACACTCACCACGTCACTATTGTCCGTCGTGGGGGACAGGACGTTAGGCATTTACACCATCAGTTTAAAAAAAGGCGTTGGAAACTACGTGTGACTTGACCATAGGCTTACATGATTTATTGCCCCAAATTAATTATTTGAGTAAAGGAGAGGAATAAAATCTTCTTCTATCTAAATAAACTTTATGTACTGGCGTACCAACTTTTTACTTTTTATTAAGATTATTAAAGTAAGAATTGCTACCGTTTCGGATATTTTTGCTATTAACAGACAGACTGACATAATTTAGAGGGGCATTATTTTGTATTAACATATTTTAAGTCTACATGTATGTTTAAATCGAATCAGTTTAAAGAAGTTCGTGTGGTTGCGTTTAGTTTGTAGTCCTTGATTGTACCAGTTTTTGTATGTTTACACTCCACTACTAGAAACGCTAAACTTATCCCCCATGTCCCCACTATAAATGGACATAATAAATCTACCAGCCGAGTTCGCAGGAAATATTGCCTGAAGCGCAGCTATTTAATCTGCCGATACCTTAACATTGTATTGTGCTAATGACTTCATTCTAAATAATAAAGAAACTAAACCAAGTAGGGCGCGGGTTCTCTCATTCGCTAGAAAATAGATACATACAGTATTTTCTGTCTAAGTGTTGGATCTAAACAGGAAACATCATGAAAGGAGAATGTTTGAACATTGGCCATACTTACATTAACTTTCGTTGTAAATCAGTATTTTTGTTCAATTGAGGAATTTCTTTTAGAATTTAATATTTTTTAAATATTTATTATTAATTCCCCCTGGATTTGATAGGTTGTTTGTACCTTGGAAGATGACTTAGACTTAATCTAAATAGATCTGGTAAAAATTAGGAACATCTTGAATACGAATATAAACTCGTTTAATTCAGTCAAAAACATGACATGAAGGACAGGTCTTTTTGTTTTTTATTTAGACAAACCACTTTATATTTACAAAATATAATACAGTTTAATTAAACTCTGCGTTTGTGTGGTATCGTGGCACTGAAATAAAAGAGTTTTGTCGTGCGGACTAAAATAAAAAACAAATCGCGAACTAAATCTATACATTAAAAACGCTAAGTCAACAACCAAAGTACAGCTTGAACCCTGATCAGCTAGAACACTGATCAGCTAAAACTTGGAGTGTATGGTGACTGTGTCCCCCCCATACGAAGAAAGTTGACGGAGGGCGTATTTCAAATCTAATTTTTAACCACTCGCTGCGGGCGCCCCTATAAGTATAATACTGTAGTCTAGATATTTAAGTAAACTGCTAGATTTTTTATTTTTCTACTATACGTACTTATATTGTTAATCTCAACATGTTTTTAAGTAACCATAAGATAGTTATGATCTAGCGATAAGAAAAGCTTGTATTGACGGAGTAAGAAAGTTATAATAGAAATGCCAAATATTTTTATACTAGTAGATAGTGGTGAACTTAAGGTGAGTTGCTTCACTGTTTCGAAAACCTGTGACGTCAATTTTTTATTAAACTACTTGATATAGTTATTTTGAGGACTTTTAACATATGTACTAGCTATTTCGTCGTAGGATAGTTATTTTATATAAAATATAACTGTTACCTACGTCATTCTCGTCCCGTTTTTCTTGCAATTAATCTTACAAGATATATACCGTCGCGGACATTTTCTGAAACATTCAAAGAGGAATCAGTCTCCCATACATATTTTTTGGGTATCTATAACCGCTTCAAATAGATAAAAAATAAAATTACAAAGTCGCCTAAACCTTTTTACTTTGTTTTAATCAATATTTTTCTTGATTCCTCGGTTGGTGCCTAAACTGCCGGTACAGAGGAGACAACTTCGACTTACACATGATAATTGGATTATGGCGTACGTAAAATTCACGTGACATTAACAGGCATGATGAAACAACCCGCCCTAAAGTTAATATTCCTATATAAAAGATCTAAGAACAGTTATAACTAATAATATTATCGTATATATCGTTTTATAATATATATTTTTATTACTTCCTAGATTTTATTGCAATTTTCAAAATAAAAAGAGTATTTTAGTTTAGTTTACAAATTAGACGCTTCCTTACTCCGTTTAAATATACCTTATTTAAGGATTTTTAAGTGTGCTCTATCGTTTAGTCGAAATGGCTTAATAGTTTTTGATGTAGTGTTTAGTACAACCGAGCAAGATCAATTTAATTTTGAATATTACCTCTAAAATCGTATAAACGTATTGTTATAATTATGTTTAGTTTTAAGTTAATTCCCAAAGTTATATTATTGTATTGTATACGATTATCTATTATTAGATATTGTAAAACCTTTTCCTCTATGGGGTTAGAGGCGGAAATATTTCTGTGTCCTTTGGTGCTTTCTATGCTCACCCTCATTAAGGCATGGTAGATTTTCGAATATTTTAATATTAATATTGTAATCCTAATTTGTTTTCTATTTTACCGACTGATAAATACAAGTTCTTGTCTTTGATAAATTAAAATAAAAAATATATTTAAGTCGTGCCAAATATTTTTAGTCCCATTTTAAAACTATTCTAAAATTGAAATAGTTTCCGTAGAGTAGAAATTAGTTTTCGTAAATCATTCCTGTTTTTTCGTTGTCAAAAAGCGATGTATTATAGGAATACGTAATTCATAATTAATTTTTAAACACTAAGATGTGCTGTAATTCATTTGGCTGACCGTTGATCTCTTCACCTGTAAGTTAACGGTAAAAATGTTACCGGCACCTTTCTGTATTTCTATTTTTGATGAAAATAAAGAACTATTTTTTTTCGTATTATTGTTTTACTTGCACGCAATTTACGTGTTCTCAGAAATCCTATAAAATATAAATCCATTTTTATATTTTTTAATTACTTAATGTGTTTTTTATGTAATGCTTCCCGCCGATTTCTTGTCACCGAAAGTAAAAGTCTAAATTTCCATATAAAATTATTTAATCGCGTATTTCTTACGTAGCAGTCTAAGTACAATATTAATAGATTACACAGTTTCAATGTATGATTCTACAGCAAGTGTTTATAGGTTATCACGCTTGATAAACGTTTCATTACAAACAATAAGCACTTCGTCTATCTGCTGTTTAAGTTTTTAAGATTTTTTAATTAAATAAATTAGCTTCACTTTTGAATGGTAAACGACACAAACACATTTATTTGTCCGTTTCAAACATTATTATTTATTGTTTACGAGCAAATAGATGCCACAAGTTTCGTTATGTTTCCCACGTAATCGTAACGTGATTCTACATTAGTCATCCAAGGTAGAGAGGAAACATTATGCATGCTGTCGATCTGGCTGGCTGGCGACTTGTTGGACGAACCTTAGTTCCACCAGCAGATGGGTAATCTGGAGGTGGAACAGTGTATCTTCCTCCGTCTTCCTTTTTCAGCAAACCGAAACACAGAGGACGCCTCAACCAAACACATTATCACAGACCACATCACCGAGAAAAACAAAGATATTATCTTCTAACGGAACCAACTAAACATAAATCAGAAGCAGTTTCTTTCCACCGTTTCTCCAACCATAACTTCGCTAAGATCCCCATTCGACCTTCAATTTTATTTGCTGCTCTGCTTTCCATCTTTCCAAGTCTCCTATCATATCAATGAAAAGTCTGAGTTGCTAAGTACAAGTATCTTAAGTACTCTCTTTTTTCCCCCCGAAAAAAAATTAATTAAAAAAAAACTAATATGTAACTAATATAATATTAAATTTATTGGGATTTTATTTTAACTACGGCCTGACATTTCGCATGCTTTGCAGCAGCCATGGTCACGGGGTGACGGTGGACCACGTTTAACTAATATAAATCGCGTTTTAAACCGTTAAAGTGTTTTATTTAAATACAAGTACTTCAGAATATATCTAAATATCGAACTATCATTTTGGCTGACCTCTAAACCAATGAATCAATGCCGACCAATACATAAGACAAGATAATAAATTCTCAGATTTAAATTTAAAATAATGTTTTTTGTCTTTCTCTTACTAATAGAATTACAACTTCTATTGAGACCGTACCAGTTAGTCGGAACCTGTGTTGAAGCAACCTCGCTCCTTCCCATAGTAATATGGGAACGTGCGAGGTAAAATAAAAGTGTCAAACTTAAGATATTACAGTTTGTCAGATAAAAATGTACGCGTGAGTCTGTATTGTAGGTATATATGTTTATGTGAATGTTACTTTTATTAAATAATAACTCACTTACGATGTAATTGGAAGTACTCAGCTTCAGTTACTAAAAGGTCGTAGTCGGCGAAATTATTGGGCAAAATGAGACGACGGTTCCTCAAATAATTGAGGATGTGTCGAAACATATCGCCATCTCTGTCTATGAAATAATGCTGCTTAAGGCTGTCCAGAACGAGGGGGATGTTACCGGAGAACATTCTGCCAAGTCTTGAATCGGGGAAACTAAAATAAAAAATAGTTTTTTTTTTAATGATAGAGGAACAGACAAGTATGGGGGTTTACTTGACGCGTGAAACATCCCAGCCATATAGCATCTATTAAACTTCACGGTTTTTACACCTGTGAATGGCGGTTCGTGACCCAGACGGAATTCCGATACTCCTACCGTCCATTTAATATCTAGAGTTCCAGACGAAATCTAGAACGTTTTAGAAATATTTGAAACATCGTGGACCGGGTCGGGATCGAACCCACGACCCGTTGATTAGCCATAAATTGCTACTATTAGACCAACGAGCTCGTCAAATGTCGAGTGTAATAAAATCGTAGCTTAAAAAGTTTGTTTATTATATGAAAGTCGCGTCAAAGTCCTGCCGTTTTACAGACACGAGTAGACAGTATATATATAAAGTTATATTCCACTTTGCATCTAAAAAATAAGATATAGAATAGGAAACACATTGTCTATTAAGAGTCTGTTCTGAAAACGGCGGTAGGTATATCGTATGAGAACAATGACAGAGCATTTTATTGTTTTGACTGGAATTCAAACCCAGACCTTCGTAAACAGTGTCTAGTAAAACGTTGATCTGAAAAACGCAGGTAAGCCTGGTGTGAACAGTGACAGCGATGTTTCTTTTTTTAGGGATTCGTACCCAGACCTACTTATTTCATTATATAATATACAATACCCATACATTACTTACACGGTAAGAGTCTCCATAGATGTGGTATATATGACCCCACCCACGTCTATATGAACGGGTGCGGTCATATGACTGGGTTCCGCCACTCGTGGCATACAAAACCGCGCCTCACTCTTGTAGCTTTGTTTCTCGCAAGCGTTGTGTGTGACGTCACAGCGTGCTGTATCAAAATCAGGGAAGCCATGCCACGTATCCTGGCCAGTACTTGGCCATTCCATGCCGGTTTCTTGGTACTGAGGTGTGACGTCATTATGTGATATATTGTTACTGGTCGAGGGCGGTGGAGAGAAACCCGATTTTAAAGATCTTCCGTTCCACGGTAAAGAATAGGATCGTCGTCCATGGAATCTATAACAGTGAAGTTTTATCATCATCATTTCCTTTTCTACCATAGCTCGGGGTCTGGTCTCCTGTGAGGACCTGGCTAGTGTGTTCTTGTATGATATTAGGTTTTTTTTATTTAAGGGCATGTTTCACCCCTCAATCTTGTTCCTCACGGGTAACATATGACAGTATGTAAATAAAAATGTTGGGTACACGCCGGGGGTCGACCTGCGGACCTAACGTATGTCTACTAACCGTGAGACGATTTTGGTGTCAAACAGAACTGTTGGACAATGAGATTTTAAAGAAATTCTAGCCGAATCGTTTTCAAAAATGCTACGTTACGTTAGTTAAAATCTGCTATCAAAGCTTTTAGAAAATAAAAATGTAATTTACATTGGAAACATTCGAATGGACAAGATTCGAATTCACCACCAGCGTCCCACCCCATATCAAATGCTTAATAAATATACACGTGTGCACTTTTAAGGAAATTTCGACCTTAAACTAAGTAATGAAGGTTTAATGTTCTATGGTTTTATGCAGTTAAATAATCGAGTGTTATAAGCCATTGTTTTAAAACTGACGTATTTGTCTCCCGCCTTTATTCTGAGTAAAATAATATTAGAAAGAAAAAAATTCTTACCGTGAGTACGGAGTGTTTGAAGTTGATTTCATGTCACAAGAATGATTCGTTATTCGGTGTGGTTATCATTGAATTAAATCTAAAAACACGTTAAATATATTATATATCTTAAGTTTATATGAGTAATTTATACGTTTGCTTTTAACTTATATACTCTACATGAACATAAATTGAGTATTTTAGAAATATTGAAATAATCGATGTCGTGTATGCCTCGAACCCACGACCGTGCGTGTAATTAAGGTCTTAAAGTATCAACTGCAACCCGATGTTTCGGAGCTTAATTTGTTCATTTTAAATTCTGCATCAGTTCTGTTTATGTTTTTTTTTCTCTTTACTAACGTGTGAAACCGTTTAAAGTTTACTGCGACCCGATGTTTAGGATGCTTGGCAGCAGCCATGGGGGACAGTCGCTCCATATATGGCGTTTTAAACCGTTAAAGTGTTTTATTTAAATGTGTATTACTCGCGTAAATTACAGGTTTGATATTATTATTCAACCAATTGAGATATACGTTCGGTTGTACAAATAATAGTGAAGTACTTTTTCAACATTCTAATTTTAAACAAACGAAGCAAAAACTTACCAAAACTCGAAAGCACATAACAACACTACCTCACAGCGCAACAACTCCACAAGGTATGAAGCGTTTATTCGCATTTCTAGAGCAAGTATTATTTCATATAGGGGTTGGGCTGGCTGTAATGGCCCAAGGCGGCGGCGTCTCTCACAGCCTCGAGCGTTACTCGTAATGCTCGCGCGCCGCCCCGGGCGGACCGCCCGGAGCAACGCTGTGTATATCAATGCGAGTGGAAACGGTGGTATTTCAACAGATAATAAATAAGCATATAAGAATAATATTAAAAAAAAAACGTTACTATATTTTAAGAGTTCTATTTTTAAACACGAAAGTTTGTTAGCACATACGTATGTTTGTTACTCTTTCACGCTGCCATGGCTTGAGCGACATTGATAAAATTTGGTTTCAATTGTTTTTTGTAAAAAATTAACTTAATTTTTTTACGTGTCTTAAAAATGTTTTATACATAATAATAGTGCACGAAACATATAATACAATTAATATAATTTGTATAAAATTATCCAGCACTGATAGATGGTTGAGAAGATATTGTCTTAAATATTAAACACCAAAACACGTTTATCAAATTATTTTATTTAATATATAAACAATATTGTAATAAATGTCAATATCATAACACTCAATCAGGAACATCATCTCTTCATATCACATAAAGCAACTTCTAATAAATAAGAGGCGGACAGCAACATCTTCACAGCGTCTCACATCTGTGAAGGAAAAGAGTAAAATATTAAAAAAGGTATATTTAATGTCCCTAATGTTTATTCCACTGAACAACAGCCATGAAAATTGGTAGAGCAGTTTTAAGTAATAAATGATTAAGCAAACCCTATACAGTATTATTAGAATTTATGAAAAACCAAATTTAAAGTATTGAGAATCAATTAAAAAAATAGGCATGTCTGGACCGCTTCTAAATGGTCAAACGTGTGCCTAGTGTAATCGTGCACGAAAGCGGGGTTCGAATCCCTGTCACACAAGTGATGACCTCTTTGCCTGTAAAACTGATGAGTGGAACGGAGAAGAAATGTGTTCGCCCGATGCCCTATGGGGGTACAACGAAAATTCCAGGATCTTCGGTACTTACCACAATGCATTTTACAGCTGCGCTTAGATATGATGCTTATTGTATTTGCCTTTATATGACGGAATAACTAATGGACTGAATTTTGATGAAACTTAAAAAGTATGTGCAACACAGTATATAGGGTCATACATAGGGTCATGCATAAGGTTGGCTTCGGTTGTCACCACTAGTTTAATGGTGGTAAAAGCCCACGGATTGGTGGACTTTAACGCGCTGAAGCGGGGTATACGCTCTTAAATGAATGTCGAATGCTAAAATAGAAATAGCTGAAGATTTTGTTTGTATGTTTGAACGCGCTAATCTCAGGAACTACTGGTTTGAAATAAATTCTATTTGTGTTGGTTAGAGCATTTATTGAGGAAGGTTATAGCCTATAAAACATATCGCTGTGACTAATAGCAGCGAAGAAACAATATGTAAAACAAATGGGAAAATTATTTATCCTTATGGGTTCCCATTGCGTTCGCTACGAAAACGGTTCAAGATACCCAAAAAATATGGTATAAAAGAATGATTTCTCTTTGAATGATCTAAAAAAGTCCGCGACAGTTTATGTCTATCTTGTAAGATTAACTTGCAACAAAGACGGGACGCGGACGACGTCGTGGGTAACGGCTTACATTTATAGAGTTCAACAAGAGGTTTGCAAAAAAAAATGGATACCCAAAATAACTATTCTACGCATACGAAGTCGGCGTGACTCAGCTAGTGTTGAAATATATATCGATACTCACGTAACAACATTCCACGCCCAGGTGTTTCTGGTTCGGACACAGTTTACCTCGCATGTGCACTATATTCGAAGGATCGCAGTCTTCTATCCGAACACAGATACCGCCTTGTCTCACACAGGCTTCTTCCAATTCGATTACGGTAATCACTGAAAGACAAATCGATATTAAAATAAAAATAAGCCAAACACGCTCTTTAAAACTGTAAACTTTAACGGGAAATATATTAGTTAAACTTATTAAAAATTTTAACTTCGGCCCGACATTTCGAATGCATTGCCTCAGCCGTGGTCACGGGAGGACTAAAGATGGCACTAATGTCAACCTAAAAACTGCTATTAAAACTAAAGGAGACAAGAGAACTTGTTTGTGAAATCCTGTTACCCCATGTGAGACACGCAGACATACACATTTCTGTGTATGTCTTTGCCCTGCCTGATCGCAACAATGTATTGTTTAGCAGGGGATTCGAACTAAGGACCTATCGTGTTTGCTACTATTTTATCTAAGACGTTTAAACAATAGTTACTTTATAATATGTTAAGTTATTAAAAAATTATAATTAAACCTCCTTAAAATATTTTTTTATTTATTTTTTTTTTTCTTTTTTCCCCCCCCTTTCTTTTTTCTTTTCTTTTTTTTTTCTTTTTTTTTTTTTTTTTTTTTTTTTTTTTTTTTTTTTTTCCCTTTTTTTTTTTTTTTTTTTTTTTTTTTTTTTTTTTTTTTTTTTTTTTTTGTAGCACTCGCGTAAACCACGTATACACGTAACCAACGGAGGGGGGGAGAGGGGGGGGGAAACATGGAATTCACTCGATGGTTGGAAAATAACGTCTATATAACATCTATACAGGCTTTGGATATTCGTAAAACTACAGACTGAAACGCAGTTTAAACGCGTTTCAGTCACGGATTTTTCATCTGTAGAAGCTTCGCACTGACGTAATATCGATATTCATACCACAGATTTAGTATCCAAATTTCTAGACGAAGTCCAACATTTTTTAGAGAAATTATAAATTGATTAGAAACATATTGGATCTGGTGGGGATCCATTCCACGACCCGTTGACTATTAATTATATGCTTTCGTTTTGAAAAGGGGCTGTAAGTCATGCACACAACATTATAGGGCATCTATACACAAATAAGCACTCACATTCCAATGGTGACGAAGATCTTTTCCATGTGGGGTTCGCCGAGACCATCATACACAGCGCAATAAAGAGCACAAACTTATACATAGTCACTAATACACCCAGGCAGCGGTTCAACGTATATCTGATCTCGCGCGCGAAGCACAATGCTTTTATACACAAATATTTATAAACATAGCCGCGTGGCGCGTAATAGCTAATCGTTAAAACGGAGATAGATAAATCTGGGAAACTTTAACCTTGGATAATGTTTTCGCCTTCCCCTTAGAGGCAAATTTATAGAATTAAAATTACATTCAAAATTAGAACTCGCTTTTGGCAATCATGTATTTTTTTGTATTTCATTAAAATATCGTACATCATCTTATCCTAATCATCCCCGTAAGAATATGGGACTGGGACTTTGAAAATTATGGCTTAAATAAATCTTAATTCTCATTTGTAATTTCGAATCGAAAATCCTTGAATTGTTGACGAACCTTTTTACCAATCCAAACATTTGTTTATGAAAAGCGAATACTAGTATTTAATTCGGTTTTACTCGCAGTGGATTTAGAATGTATGTATAGTTGTTATCTTTAGCTTTATGATTGATTTTATATCAACTTTGTGTTGCTTCTTCCTTCACAATTGTTAACGGCGGTTTAAGAGATTTAGAGTGAAGTATTTTCTAGATTTAGCGCGTGCAAACAAACAGACAGACAAGTGTGTTTATTCTGTCACTTTATGATATTATCATACTTAGTTTTTAATAGTTTTATTAAATCTAACAACAGATACATTATTTTTATTGCTTTATAGTATAGATCCAGTTAGCCTTCTACGAACTTCCAGGTTAATTTAAGACTTCTCAAATAGTGAGACAGCGAAGATTAACTGTATTTAATTTAAATTAAATAATGCTATACCTAGTTTTGCAAACACTGCCAATAAAAAAATGTAGAAATACTATTTTCTAGTTTTTTCTTTTACTTTTTTAAAATATAAAACTTAAACGGTTTTAAACGCGATATATATTAGTTAAACTTATTGATGTAGCTTTAGAGCTCTTTAGGTCTATTGCCTCCATAAACATATTTTTATTTTGCAAATGATCAAATCAAACGACTATTGGCGGAGTTAGCGTGGGCCTGGGGGCGCGGTTGGGGTATAGCCCAGGGCGCTTGTATTCAGGATCGGCCCAGGGCGCTAAAATCTCGTTCTCCACGCCAGCTTTGAAGATTATAACCGAGATAAAGAGAATAGTCTAAAATTAATACAGTCACGTTGCTTCTCAACATCATCATTGATTTAAATAACGCACTTCTTCATTGTTTAAAATACGAAATATATCAGGTAACCTATTTTAAAAATAACAACTAAAAAAGGATATTTTTAGGTTGAAAAAATTTTATGACACTGGCAAGACCTGAATCGGCAGCCACAGCGCTTCGTTCTCTAACTAACTCTAACTTGAGCAGCCGTGTCCTAAACGTCATCGTTGATTTTATACAACCTATGATTCACTTTTTTATTTATATAATGCTATCGTGTGCATTAAAACGTGAAAAATATTAAAGATTTCAAACTGGTTACTTTGGTTTTGCCCTGTTTAAGCTTTCTGGCGCTTCTGGCTCTAGTACCATCAATCTATTGAATCCTTTCTCATTTCCATCAATGCATTGCTGAAATGAACAGTAAAATATATTAGACCTCTCGTGTATTTCGGGATTTTACGACATGCTAAATCCGATCGAGTTTTCGCGCGATGCTATAAAACAGTTGTAAACAAACCTTGCTCCCATTACTGTAGCGGGTTCTCTTATAATATCAATTGTATTATTTACTAGCTGTTTGCCGCGGTGTTACCCACATTTTATTTCATTATTCAATGACCTCAATGTATAAAAGCGTCAAGCCTTTTTTCGCTATTCTGTTAATTTTTAATTAAGTTTATTTTGTAACATTGTGGTGAAAATAAAGTATTTTTTGTTTCCTCTTAAGCCCTCTTGCCCGCGACTTTGTCTGGCCATAGTAATTATAAGCATTATATTATTTCCCTATAAATTATACCTGTTACCCACGACGTCAACCGCGTCCTCTCGTTCTTGTGATATACTGTTGCAGATATTCTTAGATCTATTTTTATTTCTATACATGCTGTATTGATACCTTGATTAGTAGATGCGAGTAGATCTCAAAGTCCCAAAATTCGATATGTCATTGTTTTTTTCAGAATATTTCTATTTGCTACCAACCCTGGAGTTTGGGAGTACACTACGTGCACGTTAGGACGTCGGTCATTTAAACCAGCTACCAGACTAGTCTCCTGGGTCTTCAAAATGACAGTAGATAAATAGTAGAACAGTGAAGTTGAAACGACTTCAAAACTTGGTTCAAAAAGAGTATAATTTCTATTGTATCATGGTGTGGTCAGTGCAGAGCCACGAGAACGATATTTGAAGCGAAAACATTTCCTAGAACGATATCGTATGGTTTTTTAAACTCGACTATGTACGTCCGATAACCGTTCTTATTGTTATACGAAACTAGGCGAAACTATAACGTTTTAGGATCTATATTCGCTTGATGATATTCACATTATATTGTTTATTTTTATGACGAGCATTGAGGTCGTGCGGTCTATGGGTCAGAAGATACGACGCCGAATTAGTGCGAAGGTCTAGAGCAAAATTTATCTCGACATGCAATAACAACGTAATTATAAGTACTTGTATGACTCAATACTTACATTTGGAAATTTTAAGATCCAAGATGTTTCTGAGTTATATATTGATTGAAAACCCTGACCTGGCGGGGATCGATGCTACTAACAGTTGATTATTAGGCTTTGCTACCAATATACCAACGAGCCCGTCTACCTTTAAAATAACTTATTTATTTATTTTAACCAATATGTCTGTTAAAATCGATACAGCTATTTCGAAAAATAGTGCTGGCACTAACGAACAGACAGACTAGTGAATGTAAGCGCTGATAAAGTATTTTTCACCACAGCGACTAGTCGAAGTCATGATTGCACACCATCTCGTCCCCCGTTGTTACTCCTACCTCCTCCCTCATATTTTTTTATTTCTAGCCCATTGGTTTTAAAACGAACCACTACATTTTTTAGTGCAATGGCGGAGAGAGTTTGCATGGCTCAATTTTTATTTTTTCCTTACGCACTTATTTAATTACTTGAGTATCGAATTTTGCCTCATCTTAATTACTAGCCGTTTCAAAAACTTCGTCCGTTCTTTCATACATTACATTTTTTTTTTGGATATCTTGATATTTTGCAGCGTACGCAATAATTATTTATTTCGAATCCAGTAGTTCCTGAGATTAGCTCGTTCAAACAAACAAACAAAAAACAAGGTCTTCAGTTTTATAATATTAGATATTTTATTATTTATTTATAACTTTAGCTTATTCAGATAAAAATATATCCATTATTCCTATAATTTGTGAATACTCGTTATTTTTTTAGTTTGAATGTCTAATCGTGTAAAAACTACTACAGAAAAAAAGACATATTTTTTTAGCTTCATGTAACCTCAAAACTTTTTTCTTCACATATATGACAAACAATTTTATTTTAATAATTGTTAACAAAGAAGTGTCTATTGGGAACTGAGAGACTTTGTAACTATGTTAATTTAAAACAAGCAGACCGTTCTCGAAACTTTCTGTAAAATAAAGTAAGGTAAAACCAATCAACGATTCGTGGGTTCGAACCCCAACAGGTCCAACGTTTTTCTAATTTTTCGTTAATAAAAAGCCGTAAAAATGGAATAATAAAAAGCCGTGAAGTTTGATCGCGTTTTATTTTCAGTCTGTGGATATCCGAATATCCAAAGTCAAAATAAGTCGACAGTGTTGCTTGATGACTGCTTGGATGTTATATTATGGCTGGAGTATTGAGCTTCGTCTGTAATTTATGTAAACTTTGTTGACAGTAAAAAAAAGTAACTAGCACTATGTCACAAGCACAAGGGCAGATGTAAGAAAAAGACAGTTATTTTTTATTGTATTTATTAAAATAATCTTAAACTAAACTATGTTACCTAAATCTGTAACTAATCAAAGGTTATACTATACCAGTTTCGCAAAGCCTAGCTTTTTCTCATCCTTTTTATTCAGTACCATCGTTCATTGTTACAAATATATGAAATCTAGACAGATCTCGATCAATTAATACAGTATCCTTCTTCCGCTTAAATCCCGGAGACACTGAAATGTATATTAACATTTTTCCTTATAATTGAGATCACAATCCACGTTGCACGATTGTCGACCAACGCAAAGCTTTAGAAAAATTGTAGTTTTAAAATATTTGTTAACTTTCGGGACTCGAACCCATTGAATTCCGTCGGCCAAAACCTTTTGGATAGTTAATAAACAAATGTGATTAGGGTGGGACTCAAATCCCTGGCCCGTGAAAATTAAAAATTAAATTGTGAATTAATTTAAAGCTAGGTTTTTCGTACAAAAGCACTTTAAATATAGATTCTAATAATATATTATTAAACATGGCCGTGGCTCATGTGTGAATCGCTTAGCAATGAGTTAAGCACGAGAGTTCCTAGATTCTAGTGCCGGAACGGCCAAAATGTTTGATCGGATTATCAGACAGATTTTATTCGAAAATAAAATAGCTTAGTGAAACGGACACAATTATGTCCTATACAATATATTACACATCGCATTTGCAAAATATAATAAATATTTGTTGTAGGGCAGGGCACAGAAGTCAGATCAATTACTTGTCTGAGTCATCAGTGAAAGAGTCGAAGAAATGGATTTGGCCCATGTAAAGAAACAGGTTCATTCTTTTAGTGGTTGCAAGTTTTATTTACTGCAACAAAAAGGTATTCAAGCTGGTTGACAGATAAATAATAAATTTATTTTTGAAAGCAGCGCCATCTCTGTTACGTCAAGGTAAGCATTTCGTCATTAAACGTTCGTTCATTGTTACGTTTAAACGACATTTTACCATTAAAATGGTCGCTAGAAATGTTGGATTCGAAATCCAGGGCAACACATTTTTCCGTCGAAATTGCGCTGTGGAAAATCGAAGACTAATCACCTGTGCTTGTAATTGA